GAGTCTATGAGTCTATGAGTCTATGATCCAGTCCATCTATTCCTTCTGTCCTGTCCCCACCCAGAGATCCCCCATCACCTCTTAAGCCTGCCTCCCTGCCCAATATTACTGGCAATGTGGAGATTACCAGACTCCTAACCACACTTCTCTTTCAGCCCCTGCTCAAATTATCCTTTCTCTTCCGTGCCTGAATATATGGCCTAAATGGGAAGCAGAATTTACCTGAGATGTGACTTTTGGAGGCACAGGAGGGGTAGGCTGAAGTAGTCAGCTGCCAGTGAAAAGTGGCCCATTCTAGTGACATTCTGAGCTCCTCAATTCCAACTGAAGTCAATGGAAGTTAAGGCTATTCATCACCTCACAGGATTAAGGCCTCAATCTAGTAATGTGAGATCTGTCCTGGATTTGAGGATAAAATGTTGGTGGGTGGGGCTCAATCCTCCTCCCCAAACCCCCAAGCATGTGATTAGCAGGGCCCATGGGCTTCTTACAGCTTTATAAAAAATAATTGGGTCTACAAAACTAGCCTGAAAATTGTATGGAACAGCATTTCTTATGAGATTTCCAGGGTGACCCAGTTGATAAAAGACTGGTCTGGCAGTCCGGACACCTGAATTCAAATCCTGGTTCTGCTATTGACCATCTGTGAGACTATGGGCAATCAATGCACCTCTCCATGCCTCAGTTTCCCCATTTGTTGCATGGGGATAATGGTACTTACCCTATTTTGTAAAGTGCTTGCAGCTCTATAGATAAAAGCGATACATAAGTATTATCACTATAGGTAATAGATTGAAAAATAATGGACTAAGTTAACCAAACCTTCAAACCTCAAAAATGGTTTGATTCAAATTTTCAGCTAAGGTTTAAGTGTCTCTTATTTTGTCACCATTTTTCCCCAGACCTACTTTAATATCCCATTTTTAAAATATCATTGCTCTGTGTGCCTGTGCTAATAATTACCTTTTAAAACCAAAATCTGTTTTGAAACCCAAGTCATCTTTTGCCATTCGCGCAACTTGTTATTTTTTGGAATCCTTGCAATTTCAGACAAAACCCACACATTGCCATAAATGGAGAAAGAGAAAATGGATTTCAAAACAGCTTCAGACTTCTAATGTGCTAATAAAAACAGAAGTAAAATAATGAGTTGTAAACATCTGATATCAAGGTGGCAGTGTCCCTTTAAGTGAGTACAGGTGAAGGATTTCCTACCCACTCTCTGTAAAACGTGGAGACTCATAGCATGTTACAGAGCAAGGAGCACTGCACACATTTTCCAGGTGCAGTTTGTTTAAGGAATGCTATTACTAGCAGCCCTGTTTTAGATTTTTCATTACTGGATCCGAGAGAGATGGTTTGTGCTGAATGCCTTGTTTGTGCATGGGTTTACTCTTCCTAAGGATTGTGGTACCAGAGGAGATTCTTCAAGGGAAAGAAGACTACGAGTCAGTGAAGTGTGTGTGTGTGTGTGTGTGTGTGTGTGTGTGTGCGTGTGTGTGTGTGTGCGTGTGTGTGTGTGTGTGAGAGAGAGAGAGAGAGAGAGAGAGAGAGAGAGAGAGAGA